CAGGATTGCTCAGCACGCAAGCCGCCTCTTGGATGCGGACGCACACACCTCATGACTGGAAGAAGCAGGCTTGGGCGATGCCGACGCCAGGCTGAGGCCATCGCGTCCTTAGCCCTCTCCTGTCGCGTGGGCCAGGGGGCTTTCCCTGCAGGGCGCCCAGGAGCCAGTTCAGGGCACCCGCTCCGAAGGGGCTGCGCGACCATCGCCCTCACCACGCCCCTCCAGGTTCCGTATGCCGGGTGCTGGAACCACGCCTCCAGAGCACCCCTCACGAAAGGGCCTCGGGGTTCCAAACTGGAGCGAAAAGCTTGGGACACCTACGGCCAGAGGCACCTTTGGCAACCTCCGACGAGTGCTGCCCTTGCTGCGCGTGGGTGTTGCGACATGCTCGTCCTCAGTGCGGCCTTCACCTCGGCCTCGAAAGGCACCGCCAGCAGCAGCGGCTGCTTGCGAAGCAGCTGGTGGCGCGCTGCAGCTAGCCTCTCTCTTTCTCCTTCCTCGTCCTCTTCCTCCCCCGGCTCCGCCAGGCAATCCCGCACCGCCCAGGGACGACGGAGACTGGCCTTCTCACCGTGCGGCCGGCCCGTCGCGGCAGGCTTGCTTCGAGGAGAGAGACATGACAACAAACGTCAGGACCGTGTCGTGCTGGCTTCGGCGTTGGTTCCTGACACCGCGGCGATCGTTCCACCTTGAACGATCGGCCGTTTCCAAAACGTCGGATCGCTCAACATCGACCGATTCTGGGTCGCCAAATGACGTTCAACGTTGGGGCTGGGGGCGGGGTCGCCGCCGGTCGACATGACGCGAACCTGCCGTACAATTGCAGAGATCCTCGTGGATTCTTGGATAGGCGCTGGACCCCCATCCCTTTTGCGCAGAGCGCGCCAGGGGCGGCGCCAGAGGCGCCGCCAGGGGATCCCAGCGCCGATTCAAGAGATCCGCCGCGCGGAGCTCCTACAGTTATGTCACACAGCAGCAGGAAGCTTGCAGTCACGAGTGGGGAAGCCAACAGGTGCCCGTACCGCTGCTCTCTGGACCTCTCACGGGGCGCGTTTTGACCAGGATTTCGAGGCGAATCCAGCGGTGGCGACGAATGTCTCCGAGGAAGCCATGGGGAGAACGAGGGATGGGTCGAGGTATGGGTACCATTTCCTCCACCCATCGAGGACCGTGGTCGACATGCCGGTATCGCGGGGAATCTCGAGATTGTACGGACGTCTCTGCCCTCTTGCGGGGTTCCCCCCCCGCCACGCGCCACGCGCAACCCCCGCGCGCGCCCCAGCTGCAGCCAGGGTGTTACCACAAGGGGCCCCCAGGAACTTCGAGCGCTCCCCAAACCAAAGAGGTTCTTAACCCAACGCTTCCAATGCATGGAGCAGGGGGCAAGGACCTGGGCCAGAGGAGGATGGAGGATTGAGATTTGGGGGCGTGTCTGGCCCTCTCTAAGCCTCTGGAGGCGGCTGGAGCAGGGGGGAAGAGAGAGGAGGGAGGAGCGAAATAGATGACCTCCCCCTCCCCCTCCTGGGCCCTCCGCTGCGGCGCCTCAACATTCATGAAGGCCTGCATGATGGTGTCTGTCGCCATGACGTTCTCGTCGTTCACGACCATGTATAGCTCGGCCCTGTTGATGTTCTTGCCTCGGTCGCGCCACTTCCTCCTCCTCCTCATCATCCGACGTGTTTCTTTCTACCTAACAGCGAAGACTGATAGGCTTCTAGTGGGGTCAAAAGAGAACATCCTGATTCCCCAGGGGGTCTGGGCAGGATCCGGGAGAAGCCGGGGAAAACCGGGGACTCCCCAGAACCTTATCCCAGGCCACATTTTGACTGCCCGGAGCCAACAGAACACCATTCCCAGGCCACATTTTGAATGCCCGGAGCCAACTGTAGGCCACTTCGTGTTCTTCGTGTTCCCAGAACACCATTCCCAGGCCATGTTTTGATTGCCCGGAGCCAACTGTGGGCCACTTCGTGTTCTTCGTCTTCCCAGAACACCATTCCCAGGCCATATTTTGAATGCCCGGAGCCAACTGTAGGCCACTTCGTGATCTTCGTGCTCCCAGAACACCGTTCCCAGGCCACATTTTGAATGCCCGGAGCCAACTGTAGGCCACTTCGTGTTCTTCGTGTTCCCAGAACACCATTCCTGTACCATATTTTGATTGCCCGGAGCCAACTGTGGGCCAATTCGTGATCTCCGTGTTCCCACAACAACAATCCTGTGCCATATTTTGAATGCCCGAGCTGAGGCAGGCTGAGGCCGAGGCAGGCTGAGGCCGCGGCAGGCTGAGGCTGAGGCTGAGGCACGCCGAGGCAGGCTGAGGCTGAGGCTGAGGCAGGCTGAGGCTGAGGCAGGCTGAGGCTGAGGCTGACCCAGGCTGAGGCCGAGGCAGGCTGAGGCTGAGGCTGAGGCTGAGTCAGGCCGAGGCTGAGGCTGAGGCAGGCTGAGGCGGAGGCTGAGGCTGATGCAGGCTGACGCTGAGAGGCTGACGCTAAGGCTGAGGCAGGCTGAGGCTGAGGCTGAGGCCGAGGCAGGCTGAGGCTGAGGCTGAGGCAAGCCGAGGCAGGCTGAGGCTGAGGCTGAAGCTGAGGCAGGCTGAGGCTGAGGCTGTGGCTGAGGCTGAGGCTGAAGCTGCGACTGAGGCAGGCTGAGGCGCAGGCTGAGGCAGGCTGAGGCTGAGGCTGAGGCAGGCTGAGGCTGAGGCTGAGGCTGTGGCCGAGGCAGGGTGAGGCTGAGGCCGAGGCAGGCCTAGGCAGGCTGAGGCTGAGGCTGAGGCTGATGCTGAGGCTGATGCTGAGGCAGGCTGAGGCTGAGACAGGCTGAGGCTGAGGCTGAGGCAGGCTGAGGCTGAGTCAGGCTGAGGCTGAGGCTGAGGCAGGCTCATGCCGAGACAGGCTGAGGCTGAGACTGAGGCTGAGGCTGAGGATGAGGCCGAGGCAGGCCGAAGCTGAGACAAGGTGAGGCTGAATAGGGGGGGGAAGAGGGGGGGGAGGAGGGGAGGCTGAGGCAGGCTGAGGCCGAGGCAGGCTGAGGCCGAGGCAGGCTGAGGCTGAGGCTGAGGCTGAGGCAAGCCGAGGCAGGCTGAGGCTGAGGCTGCGGCTGAGGCTGAGGCAGGCTGAGGCTGAGGCAGGCTGAGGCTGAGGCTGACGCAGGCTGAGGCCGAGGCAGGCTGAGGCTAAGGCTGAGGCAGGCGGAGGCTGAGGCCGAGGCAGGCTGAGGCTGAGGCTGAGGCAAGCCGAGGCAGGCTGAGTCTGAGGCTGAAACTGAGGCAGGCTGAGGCATCCGTAGGCATCCTTGAGAATCCTCAGGAATCCGTAGGCATCCTTAGGAATCCGTCGGTATGAATTAGCATCCTCAGGATTCCTCAGGAATTCTTCGGAATCCATCGGAATCCATAGGAATCAGGATTCCTAAGGATTCCTAAGGTTTCCGAGGGATTCCTATGGATTCCTAGGGATGCCTAAGGATGCCTTAGGAATCCCTAGGAATCCTTAGGATTACATTGGATCCTACGGCCGTTGCCACTGCGACTGTCATTGCGAATGCGACTGCGACTGCGAGAACAGCAGAATTCTACAACTGGATTCTCACCTGAAACTTAAGGGGAATGCTTCCAGATATGCTTATACACATCGCTGTTAGGCTGCTTTGCCGGGATAATCGTTTCTCTGCTTCGGCGCTCCCTTCTCTTCCAACCCTGTTATTATTATGGTTGTTATGGTTGTTATTCCTCCTCCTCTTACTGCCTGCTTCATACCGTTTCCCCGTTCGTCTCCCTCCTCTGCATCCTTACCCTTCGCCTCATCCCACTCCTGCGTGCGCTGATGGTCCACTCCCTCCTCCTCCTCCTCCTTCCCCTCCTGCGTCTCCTCCTCCTCCTCCTCCCGCTCCTCCTCCTGCTCATCCTACTTCTATTCTCCTCCCCCTCCTTCTCCTCCTCCAGTTCTTCACCCGCACCACATCATCATCATCAGCATCATCATCAGCATCACCAGCATCAGCATCATCATCATCACAATCATGCTCCCCATCACCATCATCATCCACATCATCATCATCAGCATCATCATCATCAGCAGCATCAGCATCATCAGCACCATCATCAGTATCATGAACATCATGACCATCATCAGTATCACCACCATCATCACCATCATCACAACCATCAGCATCATCATCACCACCACCATTACTATCATTGCCAGCAGCAGCAGCAGCCTCCTCCCTACGTGATACTTCTGATCCGAACCACTCCTCCTCCTCCTCCTCCTCCTCCTCCTCCTCCTCCTCCTCCTCCTCCTCCCGCTTGTCCTCTTCCTCTTCCTCCTCCTCCTCCTCCTCCTCCTCCTCCTCCTCCTCCTCCTCCTCCTCCTCTGCCTCCTCCTCCCTTCAACCTCCGAAGTCCCGCATTCCTCCTCGCGCCTGTTTCCCCCCTCCCCTTTTCCCGTCCTGTCCATCGTCCTCCTGAGGAGTGTGAAGGACAGGAGGGGGAGAGGAGGGAAGCAGGAGAGGGGAGAAAAAAGAGAGAAGGGAGACTCAGGAGTGGCGGCGAGCGAGAGGCGGAGGTGAGAAGGATAAGGCCTTCTCAGAAGGCGGCGGGGTTTCGCAGAAGACCTCGCACCTTCTGATAGGTTTTTGTTTGTTCTCTCTCTCTCTCTCGCTCTCTCTCTCTTCGGGGAAGGCTGATCATAACTACTTCTGAGAAGGGCGGCGGACTTCCAAGCCTTCTGAGAAGGCCCCCTCCTTCTCACGTCCCCCAGCCGGGCTCGCCGCCGAGTAGAGGAAGAACACAATACATGTTTTCAAACTTTTGGAGGTCCGCCCGGATTTTTCGGATCTGCGCCGAAAGTCCCTCCCTCTCGCGCCGCCAGGGGGTTCCAACGACAGATCCAAGAAATCCGCGAGGACCGATGCCGATTGGTCTTTTTTCTTCTTCAACCCAAAGAGCAGCGTCGACGGGCAACGGGCGACGGCCTCGGCGACGGCGGCGTGCGTCGGGTTCACGGCGACGATGGCGACACGCGACAGGCATCGGCGACCGCGACGAGGTCCGAGCTGGGCCCGCCGCTCGCGTTCAGCAGCGTCTCGGCGCCGACGCGCCGGGCGTGCCCGAAGTGAAGGGACGTCGGGTCCAGCACCTCCTGGCTGGTTCTGCCCCTCTCTGCTTGTCCGCCGACCCTCGTCATCGCAACTGGTTCACGCTGCGACGGCGTCGGCAACGGCTTCTGACGCCTCGTAGACTGGTCACCCTTCAACGATCCCATCTTTCCGATAGCGATGATCGCTTCAGATCGGCCGATGATTCCAGGCTGCTGTGCCACTGGCGATGCGCAGCATTGAACGCTCGCACTGGTTTTACGCCGCATGAATGCGGCACGAATTTGCCGTATCCGCCCTCCCTTCCGTCCCTCTTCCCCCTCCTACTTGTCCCCTCTTATCCCCGTCCCCATCCTTTCTGTATCCCCCCCACCCCCTTTCCTCCCCTTCCCCACTCTGCCTCATATTCCCCCTCTTGTCTCACCCCTTGCACCTCCTAGACCCCTCTTCCGTATACACCACCGCACTTGCAGCGGTTTGTGTGTGTGTGTGTGTGCGTGTGTGTGTTGGGCATCTGCTTTTTTGTTCACCTCGCACGTGTTGTGCCCCATTCGGGCTTAAAAGGGGTGTGGCCACACAGAAACCACCCCAATATCTGTGCATCCCTCCTACGTTTCGTGCCACACGACCGAGCCCCTTTGACCGCCCAGCAGGAGAATCGCATTGCGGCCACCAGCCGATTTCGGCACACCCCACACACGTCTCGCGCCCCATGAGGGACTCCATCATCTACGGCCCCAGAAAAAGGGTCAGCATGCCACCCCGTCAGTGCCGGCACACCCTTCGAAAGTTCGGTGCCCCCCGAAGAGGACTCGTTGTGTTGCCCCAGCTGCAGGGTCGGCATGCCCCACTCCGCCCCCCTCCCCCGACGAATCCATCCAACCTCTCACACGCATCGTGCCCCACAGGGCACTCCGTCTGCGGCCCCAGAAGCAAGGTCCGCGTGCAGCATCCCCGCGTACATCGGCAAACCCCTCACCCTGGTCGTGCCCCACAGCTGTGAGCTCCGCTGCACGAGCGACCCCGGGAGGGACGAGTAGGGAGGGAAGGAAGAAACAGCGCAAGGCGGGTCCCTCAGACGCCGTGCTCCCAGCCGTGGTGCTCGTGGTCGTCGTCAGGACGCCCGTGCACCCATCCCCCCACCCAACCATACAGACATGTCTGTACATCCATCACACGGGCCGTGCCGCTCCATGGACTCCGCCTGCGGCACTAGCGGCACAGTTTGAAAGGCGTCCCGCCGCCCATGCGTTGCACTCGCGCGGGCCGTGCCCCGCAGGGACTTCCGCGCGCCTCCGCACGCCTGCTCTCCGGCCACTGCCCTCGCCGCTCCACGGCGCGCAGAACGAGGGCTGGGCGAGCACTGCAGCTGCACGGGGCTGGGCCCTCCGCTGGGCTGATTGACCAGGTCCATTCGGTCCTGGTGTCTGTTGCTCTTCGAGCCCAGAAGGTCGGGCGCGCGGCAGTTCAACTGAATAACTCCGCCTGGTCGCAACCCCATGCCTGTCCCCACCCAAGCGCGAGCGTTTCGCCTGAGACACCCTCGTAAGGAGTAAGACTGAGGCCTAACGTTCCCAACGTGTGTCCATTGTTCGAAAGGTGTGGGCAAAAACATGCAGTAGGAAGGTGATGGAGGTAGATTGACTTCCCGCCTACCCCCTGAGGAGAAGGGAAGAAAGGCCGCCTCGTCGGCGCCCGTCGTCTGGGCCTGGGTCTCGGTCTGGCGGTATGTTCTCGGCGTCGCCACCCCGTCACCGCCCGTCGTCTGCGCCTGTGTGTCGGTCTGGTGGCCAAAACGTCGCCGTCGCCGCCCCGTCGCCGACTTACCGCCGCAACAAGGACTGCACCACATCGGGTCTCATTTCTGAAAGATACAAAGATCTACCCCTCTCCCCCCACGGACCTAACACATCACATTTCCGCGTCGGCTGTTGCATCTGATTATGCACACCCGTCCATCCGAAAAAAGAACCCATACCATCCCAAGCGGAGGCTCATCGACCCCCCCAGTACCCACTGTAACAGAAGAATCGCACGCACTTGTTTGTCACAAACCATGACTTGTCAGAAACAATGTCCAACCGGTGGGACGACATGCACACGCGCGCGTCGTCGCGCGCATGCCAACATCATTCAAAAAGCTTCGGTGTCCCGGTAACATGATAAAACACCCATGGTCTCGCGAACGGAATGGTCAAACAACCTGGTCCCATGCTCTTGCGAACTCTTAAAGAAAACCATAGGTTGCCCAACATTTCCATCGAACGCCCTTGCGCGAGTGTTGACGCAAGAACCCCTTGCCAAACACGGGGTGAAGTGCATACGCGCGCGCCCCTGCGCTGCGAACGCATCCTGGGACCCTTCAAACTCAAAAGGTTTCGCTAACATTCCAAAGCCGAGTGTCCGCAAATGCCCAAAACACGAATGGATCCGCAACAGGGATGCAACGTGCCGCAAAACGAGGAGGGGACGGGGGGGGAGGAGGAGGAGGAGGAGGAGGAGGATGAGGAGGAGGAGGAGGACACCAAATGTGCCTGCCGCGCGCGCGTGTCTAAATCACTCGATCGCCCCCGCGCGCGCGCTGTCGCAACAATCCCTTGCAGCGGGACGACGTGCACACGCGCGCGTCGTCGCGCACGCATCCCGTCACACTTTAGATTTCTGAGGGTTCGCACGGATGTCAACACTGATTGGGCCAGGAACAAAACAAACAGAATTGTTGTTTCTCGGAGAATTGTCCAAAACAAGCTTGCATTCTCGCTCCGGCGGGTTCATAATGAAGTCGTCGTTTTTTCAACATGTCGACCGTATCATCCTAAACGGACTTCTCGCGTGCGCATGTCGGCATCCCTCGAACGCACTTGGGCGCGTTTTGGGGGGGGGGGGGGGGGGGCGACGACCCATGCCAAACAACATCCCATGCAGGCCACTTGCGCTCGTCGGCAGCGCGCGCGTGTCGAAATCCTTATCGCAACCACATTGCTGTCGTCGTTGCCATCATCGTCACCAACATATCTACGATCATCCTCGTGTCAACCGTTGCCGACGTTGCCTTGCTACCGCGCCCGCACACATCACGGACTCGCACTGAAGTGCCCCCCGGGAATTGCCCAGCGGTCAACGCCACTGCGGCCGCCTCGGTCGGGCCAAACTAGCTGGCCGCTGCGCGCGCGAGCATACGCGGGCTAGCGCGGCCGCAGAGATGCGCCAGCCAACACCAAGCACTCATCGCAATCGCGGCCGCATGATCCTATGCAAGCCAAGTTGCGGGTGGGTGGGCAGTGGGTGGGTGGTATGATTGCGCGAACAGTGGAATTGACAACTCACTGCGAACGGATATTAATTGCACCACATAGGTAGCACCACATAGCTTGCACAATTTAGATTGCACAACATAAGTTGGTAGAACCACATTGTGAGGGGTCCACGCTGGCTAACATTCTGGACGTTTCACGGGGAGGCCAGCTCGTCTTCCAAATGGGACTCTCGCTTCGAACTTCCCCATCAGCTGTCACGACTTCGCCGGTGGGGTTCACGCTGGAGGTGTCCCCAGCGCTCGTGAACAATATGGTATAGGCAGTGCAGGTGGAGAGCAGTCCTTTCTCAAAGCGAACCTCTCGCCGAACACTTGCTTGATCCGCATGTTCCTCTCTTTGTGCCCCGGATCGCCAACAGAACTAAGGCTTTCCTTGTTTGGGGGGCAAACCAAGGTTATCGCCCAAGTAAGTCAGATGGGACGCTTGCCTTTCATGGCATCGCTCTCCGCAGTGCAAGGGGACACCTGCAGAGACGGATGGAGAGGAGACGCAGCACGGAAAGCTAATGGCAACATGTTCTTGACGCATTCTGGGCTCACTCTGGTCCTCCTCCTTCCTCCTCCTCCTCCTCCTCTTCCGCTTCCTCCTCCTCCTGGTTCCTGGTCCTTCCTCCTCCTCCTCCTGGTCATGCCCCTACCCAGTGCCAGCGTCCATTCGCCCTACGGGCGAAGCGGGGCTTGTCGTTGTGTCAGCAGCGGCATGATTTCTGCGAGTCCCATGCTCCCATGCTCCTGGTTCCTGGTTCCTGACGGCCTGAGGGTTCGTCGACTGCCGCCCCCTCCCCGAAGGCGGGTCGGCCCTGGGGGGTCTATCAAACAAAGGAGCCTGGTCACGATAGTGACTGGCCGTGCCACGTATGCGCGTATAGGTAAAGTAAGAGCGAGGATGACAAACAGAAGGAAAGAGGGGGAAGAAGACACCAAGGACCAAATGCAAAACTCCAATACTCCTCCTCCTACAGTCCTCCTCCTCCTCCCCCTCCTCCTCCTGGAGGAGGAGGAGGAGGAGGAAAGGAGGAGGAGGAGGAGGAGCAGCAGCAGGAGGAGGATGGACGAGCAGAAGAGGGACCAGGGATCGGGGATCTGGGTCTCTGGAAGTGTGGGGCCTGTTTTGGACTCCACGAGGCTTCTCGTCGCCACTGGATCCGCCTCGAAATTCTGATAGGCATCGGGGACCCGGGTCTCTGGGAATGTGGGGCCTGTTTTGGACTCCTGGAGGCTTCTCGTCGCCACTGGATCCACGTGGGAATTCGGATCAGAACGTACCACCCAGACCAAGTCCAGGGGATTATTCTTGAGGGCAGCATGGGGAGAGGGGGGGGAGGAGGTATGAGGAGGATGAAAAGGAGGAAGGGGAGCAGGACAAAGAGAAAGGACATGAAGGGAGAAAGATGCGAATGGAGGAGTGTGACGTGGGGTTCGGCACCAGCGCATTTAGGATAAAGACCTCCAGCATATACCGACGGTGTATTATTTGCCAGTAGCGTGTCCCGTCTGCACCTGGAAGGGAATCGAGAGGTCCAAGGTCTTCATGACGAAACAAACACGGCGTGGAAGGCTTCGGAGAAAGCAAGGCAGAGGATGAGGCGAGAATGGTGGGGAGGAGGAAGGAGTGAGGAGAAGGAGGAAGGGAAGGGCATGTGGTGGGTAAAGGTGCGGCGGAAGGATGAGAAGAATTCTCTACTTCGCTGTTGCTTGTCGGTTGCTTCTGCGGCGCCCAGGCGCCCCCTAGACCTTTGTTCCGATGGCGATGGTAATTGCCGCGAGGCTGTCGTGGCTCCGGAGCCGCATCGATGATGACGTCGCCGTCCATCTCCACGCCAGCTCCAGCCCAGGACACTGACGAGTGCAAGGTAAGTCCTACCATCCCTCTGGGCGTGGTGTGGTTTGGCGAACTTTGTCCCCTCTCTGGCAAGACCCCTCTTTCCCCTGCTCCGGGGAGGGGTTTACCGCGCCCTCTGCCTGCTCCCCTGGGCCTGGGAGGGGCGGAGGGGACGGATGGCTTAGAGCGTCCAAGATGGCTCAAGATGGCTCCACGAGGGTCTCAGAGAGCCCACGATGGCCTCCAAGATGGCTTAAGATACCTCAAGACGGCTCAAGATAGTCGCCGACGTACATACAAAAAGGCCTCAAGACGGCCCAAAAACAGTTTCAAGTGCCTTCCGAGCCCTCCACGGACACCCAGGAGGCCAAAATGGCCCGGACAAAATCAATATGTGTTGCCTTCTCTCCTTTTCGCTTCCGATGGGCTCTTCAGGCCTTAAAATGGCCCCAAAGACGGTCTAAGATAGCCCCACGAGGTGTCCAAGAGTGCCCCACGAGGGCCACAAGAGCGCCCAGGAACGCCCCAAAAGCGCCCCAAGACGGCCCCAAAACGCCCTGTTCGAGCCTCCTAGGGTGGCGCCTGTTTGAGCCTACTCTTTTTGAGGTGTGTCCGTGAGTGCTTCCAAAAGCATCCCAGACCTCCCCAAAGAGTCTGGAGAGGGCCCCATCGACCCCCAAGGCAGACCCAAAAGGGCCCCAATAGTGCCGCAAGTGGCTCCGAGAGGTCCCCAAGAGCGACCCAAGACGGCTGCAAGAGACCTCCGAGAGAACACTTCCAAAGCGGTTGATATATACACCGCATGCTTCTACACTTCCCTGATGAAGGCAACTCGCCTGGCGATCTGTTTCTGGATGGGCTGGTGGGGATACCCTTTTGATCGCGACCGCGGTGAAAGAGGTCGGGCGGCGTGCAGGAACGATGCACAGCCTACTTTTTTCTTAAGGCTGGTGGGGATCATTTTTCGGTCGCGGCCGCAAGCGGAAGCGCAGGCGGCGTCCGGAGTCAGCCCGGTCTACGAGCCAAACCTGATTACCTAAGCGCGCGAACTAACGGCCGCCGGAACTGCCGCCGAGGGACGCCGTTGGGCGACGCCGGGGACTGAAGGCAGAGCTGCAAGAGGTGCCAGGTGTGCCAGGCGGCTGAAATGCAACCGGTCCAAGGGCGAGACCGCCGGAAAAGCAAACGAATGGCACCTTGTCGCGCCAGGCGCCAGAGGTAAACGAGCCACCCGAGCTAAGCACGGCATAGCGTGGGGCTGAGCAAGCAGCCCAGCGTACCGGTACCGGTGTCGCATGCCAACAGTGGCAACCTCAGGTGGTTGAACAAGAAGGCTAAACCACTCATGAGCAATCCACGTGGAGGTGCAACCCACCATTGCAAGGCGGCAGCTGCAAACACGGCCAGGCTGTGGCAGTGTCTGGGGACCACTGGTGGGGATATGCGAAGCGTCAAGAATGGCACTTCATTATGGGGCCATTCGAGGCTGAACCTTCGCCTCTCACACGTACCCTCGTTTTGAGCAGCGTCGCCCAGTTTGGGGGATATGGCCACTGCCAACGTCGTCGTTGATCGCGGGGACAAGTCTTCAGTAGGGATCTTCGAGTTTGCGCGCAGGTTTTACACTCACCCCGTGATTGCTACGTGCTGCTGAAATCGTTGCGTCTCCATGCGATGGTGGCGCTGAGTAAAATCATCAACCCGATGGTCCCTGTGGTGGTCCTTGAAGGCTTCCTGGCGAAGGACCCTTGTGAAACTGCAGGGTCGAGAGGTGCTGGCCATACACCGCGTGCTCGTGTTGCACATTGCACTGCGTGTTCGTGCCTGGGACCTGCTGACACGCCAGCGGGTCCGCTCAACTCCAAGGCCTCGCCGTGGCTCCAGTGGCTCCAGGGAGGTGCTCAGGATGCGCCGCCCTTGTTCTCAGAGGAGGAATGCGTGGCGCAGATGCGGAAGCACCACGAGTTCAAGCTCCTCGATGAGGCCGTCGAGCTCTTCGAGCAACGCCGAGTTCAGGAGGCGGAGCAACAGGAGGGCGAGACGGTCGTGTCGGTCGAGCTCCTGCTCCGTGGGGCCAGGGGGGGGGGCGGGAGCTTGCAGCTCCGAGCTCTCGACTGCTTCACCTGCTGAGTGGCTTGCTGGTGCGACGGCGTCACCTCGGGGTCCTGCTACTGCCCTGCGCACTAGGCGGCGGCGACCTTTTTGGAGGGGGCGCCGATATGTCTTGCAGACTTCTTGCGCGTGGTGCTCCGGGAGCTCGCCACCAGGGTCGAGGACCTTGGCTGCTCAAGCTGCGGCCACGAAACGGGCACATGCAACGTGCCGGCAGACGAAGTGTCACCTGGCCAACCAGCTCCCATGCATTATGAAAGTTAGTGATGGATCGCTATCAGGCTAATTTTCTCTGCGGGCGCTCGATAATAGCTGGCCAGAGCATCACCGAGAATGGCTGGTCGAGGATCCCTTGAGGTTGGGAGGAGTGAGGAAGCAGAGGGAGGAATATCGTGGAGTACCGCACCAGCGGGACAGCCGCGGGCGAGCGCAAGCTAGACTGATGCGTGACGAATGTAAATCCGAATGCGCACTCAAGATCGAACCTCTCTGGCAGAGTCCGCCGACCCCGACGTGGGCAGAACAGAACCAGGCTCTAGGCATGGGGGATGCGACAGAGAAGGAGAGGGGAGAGAAATGGGGAGGGAGAACAAGGGCGAGGGAGGACAGGGAAGGGGAGAAAGAACAACATCTTATTGTCTGCTGATTCCACTCACGATGGTATCGGTTCGTGGGGCGTCAATTCCGACATGGCCAATCGGTTCACGAGGCTGCTTCTGCTGGCATTCTCCGGCCCACTAGCGGTGCCTCTGGCGCCGCCAAGGTCGCGCTCCACGCGCCAGGGAAGGGAGTCCAGCGCCGACCAATGAAATCGGCGCGGAGCTCCGAATACTCTACTCATGCGTCTGATCATCTCCAACCCTGACCCAAGCGTCTACGGTAGGCTATATGCCTACCGCGATAGATGCGGCTTTGCGCTGCGCAACAAGGAAGTGGGGAGAGGAGGGATAAGGAAGTGGGGGGAGCAGGGAGGAGGCACGAAGGATGAGTACCCTCCGCAGGAGCCCGATGAATGTCAGAAACAAATCATATTCCTCCATCTCCTCCCTCCAGCGCAAGGAGAGGGATGATGGAGCCAGTTCCTTGAGGTCGTGGTCCCAGTAGTCGAAGTTTGTTACGATGATGTAGTCGTTCCGATTGGGGCCCAGTGTCAACTTGTGGTACACAGAGTCGGGGTCCCGCGCCAGGATGACCCCCTGAGCGCGGGCACCAACAGGCAGAGCGAGGGGCGGGAAGGGGGGCTCGGACTCTGAAGAGGACGAGAGCCCCCCAAGGGGTCGGCCACTGGTCGGAATCGTTCGAGGCCTCCCGATGTCTGCATCGCCTGATGGAGGGATGCCAAGGTCGCTGGAGGACTCTGGAGCAAAGCACCTAAAAAACCTGCAACTAACCAGCCACGAACTTATCCCTACCCCTCAGAGCGACGAGCACAAGCCGACATCAAATCTTTAGGGGCAAGCTCTTAGAATATGGGGGAATCCTCGAGACCGGGGGCCGACGCAAGGTGGCGCCAAACGCAGAGGTTGGGATATGCTGAAGGGGCCCCAGGACACACAAATAAATGCACACTAGTAAACACATTCCCAATATATTCCCCCTATTTTTCTATATTTTCTGGGTTTCTGTCTTCCCCCAAACTTCCCATAGTTTCCCATATATTCTGGAGGATCGACGATTAATTGTGTCTGTGTGTTTTCTTTCCCTCTTGATGGGCATCGAGCTGGCAGCGGCCAGCGATCCTTCCAAGGGCGTCTCCCTGCCGCCGCAACCTTCCGCGCGCGGCCGCCCCCCCGGGGCGCGGGCACGCCGGTCTCGGGTCTGTCTATAGCGCTGGGCGAGGGAAGGAGGAGGAGGAGGAGGAGGAGGAGGAGGAGGAGGAGGAGGAGGAGACGGAGGAGGAGGAGGAGGAGGAGGAGGAGGAAGAGGAAGAGGAGGAGGAGGTGGTGGTGGTGGTGGAGCCGTTGGGGGCCATGAGTCGATGTCTGACAGCACATCAAGCCCCTAGGAAAGATCGAGCTACTGCAACTGTGGGTACCGTCACATCCGCCGCCCGCGGGAGCCGCGCCAGCTGTTGCTGGAAGCGGCCCCGCTCCAGCAGGGGCTCCCCGTTGCAGCCTCGGTACCCCCACCGATGCAAGCACTGTCTGGGGCCAGACCTCTCGCCCGAACCCCAAACTCTGCAAGCACTGATGGAGGACAAAACGGGGGAGCGAGCGAGCTAACCTCAGTGGGCCACGCTCGCTCGCTTCACTCTGCAAGCCATTCCATTCCCTCGCAACCTGGCCAACGCCAGGCTCGGCGACGAAAAAAAAACGGCAGAAAAAAAACACAAGATTTTTAAATCTCCTCCTCCTCCTCGGCCCGCGCGCCGCTCGCGGCTCCCAGTGGAACTCGCTGCACAGCACGCCGTTGAAGTCGAGCGGGAGGGGAGGGGAGGGGGGAGGGAAGGGGCACGAACGGTGGGGGGAGGGAGAGCTAGACACGCATGCGCACAAACATGATGCTAATGCCCTCACCTCGCTCGCACCATCCCCATCAGATCAGGAACATCGCTATGCTCGATGACGCTGGGGCTCTTGGTATCGAAATTCTCTGACAGCTCCCTCGAGTAGTCATATCAGTGTAGGAAATGGGGTACGCACTCAAGAAGAGGACCCCGTAAAAACTTATTTAGACCCAGACCCACTTCCCTGCACAAGCTCGGCTGTGGTACTGGTCATTCGGGCACGAACGAATTCGACTGCCTGCACGATGTGTCGCACACGCTCAGAGCCCCCATCAAGTAACCGATACATATTGGTCAACTTCTGTGGGTCCCGTGCTAGTATCTCAGCTTGTGCAATTACTGCCTCTGTAAATTGCGGAGCTGCCTCTCGACTGCGCGCTCGAGTTCCGTGCGAGGTCCTGGGCCCACTGGCCTGAGACCCCGATGCTTGGTCAGTACTAAGTTGAACGCTGACTGCAGCGCGCGCATGTCGATCGTGGACGGGACTGAGGGGACCTCCTGGCCCTGCTTGGTGGCGAGCTGGAGGGTCGTGCGAAGGTCTGGCTGCGAGTTCATGCTGTACTGGAGTTTCACCTTCCGTGCTGCGTCCTCGACCCCGTCTGGCTTGTAGGTCTCTTTCAGGCGGAACACTCGAAATATTTCGTTGGTGATTTGCATGCCGTGCTCGCTGCCCATGAGCTGCATCAATTATCCTAGTACTTGCTTTGCTGGTCCTTCGTACTGGTCTGCCTCGTTCAGGCTGTCGTGAGCGCTCTCTAAGAACCCTGCGGCGACGTGGGTGTGGGGGGGGCCCTGGTTGTGCCCTTTGCCGATCGAGCGCACGGTTTCGTGATGCGCCAAGCCGGCTTCCAACCCCGCCTGAACAGGCGGCACCAGGTAAGGCAGGATCCAGAACTCGAGAACTGTGTTCGACATCTCTCTCTGGTCGGCGGCTGTCTTCAAGGCCAGTTTCTGTAGTGAAACGACTGCTGATTGAAGCTCGGGGGCTGCGGCCACGTTGTGCTGCTTTGCTGACTTGGCTCCCCTGCCGCCTGCCCCCTTTGCTGCTTGCCCTCCACCCGACGCCGCCGCCGCCGAGGCTGCTGCCCCTCCCGACGCTGCTGCCTCCCCGCCCCGCGCCCTCTTCGCCCTCCAGCTCATCATGTTGCCTTGTGTGTAGTACACCTACAGGCCCTGGGAGATGGAGGGTAACGTGCGTCTGGAAGTCGTCGAAGTCTTTCGCTTGATACTCACAAATGCTGCACGACAGGTCTGCTAGCTCGATCACAGGGTGAACCCATCTAGAATGATCAACATGGCAAACTCCATGCTTCATCGCTGCTCGTACTACGTGGTCTGTCGCTATCTTACGCGTCGAGAAAGTAGACCTACACCACGGGCACTGGTTGCTTACGACTAGCTTGTGCAGTAGTGGTTCTAGACGATGGTATTCACGCTTATGTGCTGCGAGTGCTGCGTGCGATCGAAAACGACACCCACATACCTCCTCCTCACCCGTCTCCTTGTTCAATCCCCTGAAGTCACACCAAAACGGTTTCTCAACTTCCTCTGGCTCCCTCATGTCTGCTTCTGGCTCCTCTGGTCTGCTCTGTGCCCATTCTCTAGCCACGGTGTACTCTTGGCCCAAATACGCTTGCGTGGTGATAGTCTGGCCGCTCCCATTTCTACATCACTCTTCGAGGTACCAAACACTGCCGCGATAACTGCTTCGTGGTCCTGGGGATAGAGGGCCCACCTGCGATAAGCATGCAGCCTTCTAACCTTCAGCGTGTCCGCAGTACGTTCAATGCGCCATTCCTTAAATACCGCATTCATGCTACCTGCGCGCCTCCTCCCCTTCTCGCCCACCGTGCAGCGTTTACCTCTGGAAAGATATCTGAGCAGCTTGCACAACACAACATCAATCGTGTCGGTGTGTTTCTCGGGGATGATGAAACTACTTAAACCACTAAGCGCAGCCCCCATTACAAACGCGATAAACATGCTCCTCTTAATACCCTTCGATGTCTTAGATGACCAAAACGGTGGACATTGCCTCCACGCTGCCCTAGCTGCTGTGATACGCTTCTTGATCTCGCTTCCGAGACCCTGGTCGCTCGGGATATATGGTCCAAGAACCCTCATTTCGCGCAAGGCCTCCCCGTTCAACCCACTATCTTGTTTCCTCAGCGTTCTCGTGCTATGATAAGAACGAGTACCTCTAAGTACTAGCAAGTGGTTGGTCTTTGTCGGATTCAGAAGCCAGTGCCCTATCAGCAATGAGGACTCCAATATATGAGTAACCTGGTTCATCTGTCCTGCGATCTCCTCGGGTAAGGCACCTATAGGAAGCATGGTAATCTTCGTGATGTCATCCATAAGCGTGCTAATCGAAAGGTCTAACATCTTCATACTAATAGGATGCAATGTATCATTAATGCACTGGCCCTCTTGTTCGCGCTCACCGTCCAGCCAATCCGAGACCACTGGGTTGTAGACGTCGTTAAAGTCTCGTGGCGCTAAAGTGAAGCCCATCTGGGCCCCATGCTGGCTCATCATGTCAATGCTCATGTCTGAGGCCTGCAAGGACAGTGCGGTGCGTTCGACTGCGCCAAGTGCATAAGGTACGTCGTGCTCCGCTGCCGTCTGCCACGCGTGCCCTCTAAGCAACTCACGATCTGTAGACGCAAACGCGTTCGTGCAATCGAAGTTGCTCATGATAAGGGAGCGGCCTGCTTTTTCACAACGCCATTTTGTAGCCAGTAAAACTAAGATGGCATTGTCTCGAGATCTGTTCGCCAGTCCACCGTGGGCAAAGTAAGGTCGTTTCTGTACTAAAGCGCGCTTGTGAATACCACTGTGCCATGACATGCCTACCCCACAATATGCATGCATAATGCGCTTGCCAGCTATCCCCTGCTTGTGGTTCTGCTTTTCGCTAGAGAAGCTGTGTGCACGCAACATGTTCAACGGCATGGCCTGGCACTGCCTGAAGTGGGCCAGGAGTTGTCTAAGTTTCTTCGGGCACTCAAACTCCTGCTCTGCATACTTCGGGGCACCAACTCCTGCTTTTTCTAAGCGCTCGAAGGTCCAATGCGATGCTTCAGGTGGCACTTGGGGGGGGAGTCCTTCAGCTCTTTGACGCAGTCCAATAGTCTCCCCCTGGATCCAACCTAAGTTTTTTGAAGAGTTGCCGCCCTTTCTTCATCAGGAAAGACGTGGTGTGACGCTCTAGTTCCTCCTCGTCCTCTTCTCTCTGTGCTTCACGTACTCTACGCTCCTCCCTCCACCTGGAACTGCTATCAGGTCTGTTTAAATTCGCTGCCGGTTCCAACAATAGCCATCCCATCTCAACTGGAAGCCCCCACTCTGGATAAGCTCGTCGTTTGCACGCACGTCGGCAGTATCTGTGCATGGCGCGCGCGCCCTGATGTACATGCTCCATCAGCTCAGCGCTCATGGGGAGGAAGGGAAAGTCGCCGTCGCTAACCTCGAAGTCGGCTGTATAATCATTCACCGTGGACTCCCAATCTAGATTCTTACAGCCTAGTCCACCTAGGTGTGGATGTTTAGCCAATTCTTCTCGCCATTGCTCGCCCGACCAGTGGCATCGATAACTGTGGTAAAATCTTTTTTTCGGGCCACGGTCGTTTCTTTGATAAGCTACTCTTAGGCGATGCATGTCGGCGAAGCGATTCTCCGAGTACGCGAGCCAGATCTCCTTAACGATCTCGGCCCGATCTGCATCACGATAAGCATCTCGTAGTTTCTTAAGGGCACCTGTAACCTGCTTAAGCTCGTGCTCGACATAACTACCCTCGTACTCATTCGTCGCATCAATCCTGCGCTGCCTCCACTGACGTCTCTCCTCCAGAAGCTCCATCCTTCTCTTCTTCATTTCTAAATAAGCCTTGTCCCCCTGCATGCGCTGTAACCCGAATGTCTTTTGCATACCTGCTTGCACGCACTCAACATACTTCTGCCATGCACGATCAGGGGAACGAGCCTGGAAGAGACTCTGCCACTCATCATCTGAAGTCTTGTTAAGCTCAGAATCGATATTCTGGAAAAGCTCATCCCTCCGATAACCTGTACGCAGGCACCTCATCAGCTCGCCACGGTCGATCTTTTTTTGCGATTTCATAGGGTAGCCGTGGTTCCTGATGTCGATATCTATGTCCATGCCTACGGGTAAGTGATCTCTGTAACGTCGGTCAGGGATTGTTTGTAAACGCTTTCCCGAATGGTGAAGGCAGCAACACGTCTTAACGAGAGGTATGGCGGCCACTGGGACCGCTAGGTGGTCGATTCTGGACTGGCCTCCTTTGGGTCCGTAGTACGTGCTCCCTATGTCATGGAACGTCGTAGCTACTGCAAGTCCATTGTCCATGCAAAACTTCCTAAACGCCGTACCGTTCGTGTTCTCGCACTGCGGGCGTACTCCACCTATACATACCGTGCGCGTGCGCTGCATGCTCCCATCATCCTCCCTGTGCACCCCCAAGTCGCTGTTGATGTCCCCTCCCACGACTATGGCGCTCCTGACCCCCAGCCCGTCCAACTCTCTCTCCATCCACGAGAAAACCTTCTGGGCAACGACTTCTTTTTTGCCGTCGTACATCGGGGCCAGGTACACGCAGAAGATCACGAAGTCCAGAGTTTTGGTCTGTAGCCTAATGCCTCCTGCTCTTCCCTGGATGTCGCGCGGGGGGGTGAACACAGCGTGCAAGGCCGAGGAGGGGATCTTACTGCTGACAAGGATGGATACGCCACACGACGCCGTGACCAACTTTTTCATGAGGCCCATCCGTCAAGGACGAGGGAGTGAGCGAGCCAGCTTGGATCAGGATTCAGGTCGGGCGTGTCCCCTGCAGGCGGATTTTTTGGGGACAGGCCCAAACATGCACCCCATAAGAGTCAAGCAGTGCTCAATCATTCGTCCCCCGACCATTCTGTTTGACTATTTTTGCGCACTCCTGCTCTAGAGGGACACGCCTGACATAAAAATCAAAATCACAACTCCTTCAGCCTAATGGGCCCCGGAAACGGCAGGGCCGTTGTTTCACCGTTTCCGAAAAAATGTCCCTTGAACATGGAAACGGCAAAAAAACAGCGACCGGAAACGGCAACAACAACGGCTCCAGGATTGGAACCGGAGCGGGAACCCGTAACAAAAACGGCGACGGAACCGGTGAATAAACAGCGTCGGCATCGGCAAGAAAGCGGCAAAACGGAACCGCTAAGAAGACGGCCCTGTCGCTTCCAGGGCCCACTAAGCGTCTACAGGAGGAATAATCAAGAATAGTCAAGCAATAGTTTGGAGACGACTTTGTTTAATTCTTTCGCTTGACTATTTTTGGATATGCTTGTTGGGGCCTGTCGTTTCCAGGGCCCACTCAGTCCTTCAGGGGGTCCGAAGCTTGCAGTGGCCGCGGGGCACGGCGCACCGGGCGCGCGCGCTCCCCCCGGCGGCCGCCGCGGCCGCGGACGTACCGCAGGAGCTGCCCGCGGCGGAGGGGGCGGCCGCTCCAGCACGGACCGAGCTGCAGCTGCGAGCACTCCCCGCAGGCCCCTTCGCGCCGTGGCAAAATCCTTCTGTCGGGCATGTCCCCCTACAGGGGGATTTTCGACGAAAAATAAAAGATATCCCAAAAATGCCATACAAAGGTGAAAAGATAATAAAAAGAATAGTCCCCAGACTATTTTCGGATTCTTTTGATTATTTTGGGGGTATCTTTTTAATTTTTCGTCGAAAATCCCCCTGTAGGGGGACACGCCCGACTTAACAGAATCACGATGGGAGGTTTTTTGCTAGTTTCGGATGGACCGAGCTGCAGCTGCGAGTACTTCCCAAACCTCCTCGCGTCGTGAAACAATTCACGACGGGAGGTGTTTTGTTTCGGCCCGCCGAGACCCTTCCCGGGCGTCCGGACCGTCAAAAACGGCTCAGGATGAAAAACCGGTCCCAGGGAAAGGGTTCCAGACCTCTGGGGGTCGACGTTGTGAAAGAAGCAAGATGTCGGGGGTCTGGGTCCTCCGTACGGACGACGAGGACGGCGCGGGTGGCGCGCCAGCAGCAGCAGCGGCAGCAGCAGCAGCAGCCGCAGCCGCAGCAGCAGCAACAGCAGCAGCAGCAGCAGCAGCAGCAGCAGCAGCAGCTGCGGGGGCAGCTGCTCCGGCGGCGAATCGGCCGGCAGCAGCGATGGCAGGAGCCACGGGGGCCGCCGCCAGCGCCAGCGACGCCCGCGCCGCGGCGCAAGCGGCGCCACCACCGGCCCCAGCGAAGGTGGGACTGGCTGGCCCTGCCGGCGACGCCGCCTCGGCGATGCATCGGCGATGCGGCGCGATCCTCCGTGCCCATCCTGGAGTCTTGGAGTCCTGGACCTTGGGAGTCCTGGACCTTGGGAGTCCTGGAGTCCTGGACCTCGGGAGTCCTGGACCTTGGGAGTCCTGGACCTTGGGAGTCCTGGAGTCCTGGAGTCCTGGACCTTGGGAGTCCTGGACATTGGGAGTCCTGGAGTCCTGGAGTCCTGGAGTCCTGGAGTCCTGGACCTTGGGAGTCCTGGACATTGGGAGTCCTGGAGTCCTGGACCTTGGGAGTCCTTGACCTCGGGAGTTCTGGAGTCCTGGAGTCCTGGACCTTGGGAGTTCTTGACCTGGAGTCCTGGAGTCCTGGAGTCCTGGAGTCCTGGTCCTGGGGAGTTCTGGGAGGCCTGGGCCGACCCCAACCTGGAGCCCGGGACCTCCAGGGAGTGCTGGAGGGCCCCGCGCCGCTGCGAGGGGGCGAGGGCCGGGGAGGGCCTCCCGCGGGCTGGGGCCGAGGCTGGTGCGACATGCTCTCTCTTTTTTTTTTTTCTCTCTCTCTCTCTCTCTCTATATATATATAGTCTCTCTCTCTCTCTCTCTCTAACTCTCCTCCCTCCTCCTCCTCCTCCTCCTCCTCCTCCTCCTCTCCTCCTCCTCCTCCTCCTCCTCCTCCTCCTCCTCCTCCTCCTCCTCGTCCTCCTCCTCCTCCTCCTCCTCCTCCTCCTCCTTCCCCCTCCTCCTTTTTTTTTTTCTCTCTCTCTCTCTCTCTCTCTCGATATATATATATATATATATATATATATATCCGCCGCCAGGGCGTCCCCTTCGCCTCCTCCCCGGCCCTGCTGCGCCTCCTCGCCTCCGTGGTCGGCCGCTGCCCTGGGGCGTCCCGGCTCCTCGCCATCGCTCGGACGTCCATTCCTCGTGTATGCTTTGGGGTTCTTCCGCTTCTCTGCGGTCGCAAGAGGATCATTGGGATGCTCCACGATGGTCCTCTCCGGAAAGAAGGACGCACACCCCAGCGATGCGGGGCGGGGCGGGCGGGTGAGGCGGGCGATTGGGCGGTGCCGCCCGCCTTCTGGACGCCTGCGATGATGTCGTACTCCGTCGTGGCGTAGGGCCTCGTTGAGAAGGCCTCCGGGAGGGCCGCTCTCGTGGCCGCTGAGGTCGACACGTGGACTAGCCACCGCTCGGACGTCCATTTCCCGTGCATGTTTCGAATTCGGGCGTGTTTTTTTATCGATGCTCGATGATACAGGATGCTCCTCGATGGTCCTCGCCGATCAAAGAATGCACACGTCCGAGCAATGCCTGATGGACGGGAACGGGCAGTGCGGAAGAGGCGGCTGAGGAGGAGTCGGGAAGGAGGAGGAGGAGGGCGACGATGAGGGCCATGGCAGAGGAGGAGGACGACGGTATGAAGCCAGTGGGGTATGCCAGACATGGTCAAGAAGAGGGAGGGTGAGGAGGAAGCGTCGGGGGGAGAGATAGGACAAAAAGGACCAGGGGAAGGGAGGATGATGCTGAGGAGAGAGGGGGGGGAAAGATCTGTCGCCGCGCCGTTTGTTCTCGAGGCGCGTCCAGGGCGCGTCTGCCCCGGTAGCCGAGGCTCCCTCCCCAAGACAGAAGGCCGCGCGTCGGAACAAACGGAGCGAAGACTTGTACAAATGGCGAGACGGAGGATGAATGATGGTGATGGAGAGCGGAAGGTGGAGGAGGACGAGGAGGAAGAAGGGGACGAAGAGGAGAAGAAAGAGGGAATCGAGAAGGACGGAGAGGACGAGGAGGGCGAGAACGAGGAAGAGGAGGAGAAAGAGGAGGACGAGGACGAGGAGGAGGAGAGAGGCTGACCTCGGGCGGGCGGGGGGGGGCAGCAGCAGGAGCAGCCGCCGGAGCAGGAGAGGCAGAAGGAGGAGCAACGACGGGCGCGCCCGCGGCCGGTGCGCCCTCTCGCGGGACGCGGCGGGGGGGGGGCGCCGTCGCGCCCGCGGCCCGCTGGCTGCCTAAAACTCGTCCAACGGCATCACGAGGTGTGCCCCGGGCTCCACGATCAGCGCGGCCTTCGGCGACACGAAAGAGTGACCCTGGGTAAGAGTGCCCGATAGTGCGCGGACTGAGGGGGCGTAAGGTGGCCAAATCAAAGGGCGCAAGCAGTCACTATCGCATCGCGTTCAGCGGTCGGGGGGTCCCCCGTGAGCCCACACCAAAAAACACTCCGGCGAAGGGTCACTCTTACGTGTAGTCGAGGCCTTCGCTCCGACCCAGCTCCCCGGTCTGAGCGCCGTGGCTGCGCAGAAGGCACCTGAGCCCCATGCCCTGCAAGTCGCCTCCATGCCTGACCATGGTCATCCTGGGACCTGTGCCTGCGCATCGCTCTCCTCGGCCCGGAGGGTCCGTGCACCAGACCTCGGGCCCAGGATGGCCCTGGACCGGCGTGGTGCATGGTCCATGGTGGTGTCTCGGTGCCTTCCGCCAGCACAACCAATCATGACGCTTCTGCCGAGCCGTTCCAGCCCCAAGTACCCTGGACAAGGCAATTAAGGGAACTCCAGTCCTCAACTCCAGAGATCCGATGTCCTGACTTTCCATAACGGGTCCCCGGAAGTCTTGGCCTCAGGTCGGGCATGTCGTCCTACAGTCGGATTTTGGCCGGAAGCTAGAAAATAGTCAAACCATGTTCAACAAGCACATTCAAAAATAGTCAAATGAAGGATATAACAACATCGTCTCAAGACTATTGTTTGACTATTCTTGATTATTCCTCTAGACGGACATCCCCGACTACACCCTGGCCTTTGTGGGCCCCGGAAACAGCAGGGCCGTTTTTTCACCGTTTCCGAAAAAGTGCCCCTTGAAAATGGAAACGGCAAGAAAACGGCGACCGGAAGCGGCAACAAAAAGGGCTCCAGGATTGGAAGCGGAGCGGGAACCCGTGAAAGAACGGCGACGGCACCGGTAACAACAACGGCGTCGGAACCAGAAATACCACGGCAACACGGAACCGGTAACAAAAACGGCCCTGTCGTTTCCAGGGCCCACGAAGCTCCAGACCAGTGCTAGACTATTCTGGATTCTTCCTCCTGCAGGCGGGCATTCCCGGCCAGGCCCTGGCCCTCTCCAAACGCCCTGCCCTTGGCCCCCGAGGCGCTGCCGGCGGGCCCCGGGGGCCGGGCGAGGGCGCTCCCGTCTACAGAGGCCGGCGGCGGCCAGCGCACGGCACGCGTCCAAGGCGCCGGACGTCTGGGTCTGCCCAAGACGCTGGGTCCTTGGCGGAAGTCGGGCCTGCCCCTCGACGGGAGGGGTGTTCCGAAATCGTCCAGGAATAGTCAGGGGACGGCGTTTGGCTGAGGTCGGGCCTGCCCCTCGACGGGAGGGATGTTCAGAAGCAGCCAAGAAATAGTCCGGGGACAACGTTTGGACTATGTGTATAGTGATGTGTGGGGTGTGTCTATTTTTCTGGAGTGTGTATAATTTGGGTGCCTTTTTTTGAGTGTGTATGATTTGTCGCCCATAATCCGCCTGTCGGAGGAAACGCCCGACCTGATCCTTGGCCAACTCACTTTTGAACAGCGACCGACCGTCCCTGCATTCATATAGGCCCACCACGAAGTTAGAAAACGGCATAATCATAAACTTTTGGCACTCTGCGCGGATTTCTCGGATCTGCGCTGGACCCCCCCCCCTTCCCTGGCGCGCGGAGCGCGCCAGGGTCGGCGCCGGAGGCGTCGCCTGGGGGGCCCAGCGCGGAGCGAAGAAATCCGCGCGACCCGCGAGCGAACAGTTTATGTTTATGGCGTTGCTTCTTCAAGGAATGCTCTTAGAACCCAGGGATGTTCGAATCACAAAACAATGTTCTTAGAACGTAAGAAGCCCGATGTCTGAGCACACGACAGGCCCGGCAAGAAATGATATAAGAGCATTTCGTGCAGACCACAACAGATTCTTAAAACATTCCATGGTGGGCCTATAGGCGAGCCAAGACGCCTCGCCACTGCTTGATCACTTGACGCTTCGCGTTGCGCGAACCGCGGTCTCTTCGCGATCTCGTAACGCCGCCCCCAGATCCCTGACCTCGCGACTCTTCAGAAAGTGCAGACCCCAAGAGGTCTGGACTCCTTCCCGAGGGCCGGTTATTCATCCGAGGTCTTTCTTTGACGGTTCCGCGGCCCAAGAAGGCCCCCCCAATAGCCAAAAGCAGCGGAGAGCATTCCGTCCTTTTTTGTTGGTTCTAGACTTGAGGGGGCTGGGGCTTCTGGAGACGAGTCGCTTCTTGAGCCAGGCCGCGGAGCTCGACGCGCAACTGGCTCTATGCCCGTCCCGTGCGGGTGGACCACGACCTCGGGCCCTTCTTGCGCGGGCCTTCCCGTTCGCGCTGCGGTACATCCACGTCCCCTGCGACGTGTCCTGCCAGGGGAAGCGCAGGGGGGGGGAGGGGGAGCGGGCACGAGGTGGACAAGACGGAAGAGGAGGAGGAGGAGGAGGAGGAGGAGGAGGAGGAGGAGGAGAAGGAGGGCGGAGGACGGATGAGGCGGGTGGAGCAGAAGGGGGGAGGAGGGAGGAGAAGGGCAGAACCAGAGGGGAGTCGAAAGAGGAGGCGCCGGTGCCGAAATAACCGCAGCTCCTCGCTCCGCTCCCAGGGAGGCCGCTCACTGGCCAGGGTGATTCCGAGGCGGACCAGGCTGTGAGGACGAGGGCCCCCCATGGGACCTCAGAGAGGCGAACACAAGGGAAGGGCATCGACATCGTCATCGCCATGCGTTTACGGATACGTGGATTTGGCGCGCGGGCGCCAAATCCACGCACCTTGCATGGAATGTGACTACGGGGATGTGGCGCGTGGACGAAGACAAGGGACGAATGCTAGTATGGATTACGGATGCGTGGATTTGGCGCGTGGGCGCCAAATCCACGCATCTAGCATGGAATGTGACTACGGGGTTTTGGCGCTTGGACGAAGACAAGGGACGAATGCTAGCATGGATTACGGCTGCGTGGATGTGGCGCGTGGGCGCCAAATCCATGCACCTAGCATGGAACGTGAGTACGGGGCTTTGGCGCGTGGGCGAAAGCAAGGGACGAAAAGCTAGCATGGACCACGGATGCGTGGATGTGGCGCGAAGGCGCCACAGCCACGGATCGGGGAACGAGCACCCCGAGACACGCCGTCGGTGCCGCTCTCGATTTGGCGACGGGGCGCGCCGCTTCGAGGCGGAAGCAGCGGGGCCCGTCCCGAGCTAAGTCCCCGCGCCTTGAATCCATGAGTTTCTGTTTTCCCGACCGACGCGCTTCCACCCCTCCTCCCCTCCCCTCCCCTCTCTCCCCCTCCCCTGCCTTTAATCCATGTTTCTGTTTCCAGCGCCTTGAATCCATGTTCCTGCTTCCTCGACCGACGCGCTTCACCCCCTCCTCCCCTCCCCTCCCCTCCCCTCCCCTCCCCCCCTGCGCGCGAGAGCGCAGGTGAAGAGGGGGGAGGAGTGCACGCCAGCAAGTTGCGCGACCACAATAGGAAACGTCGCGGGCCCGCGGCGAGGACAAGGAGGAGGAGGCGAAGCCCCGCGCAAGGGACTCTCTTGTTCCCGTTTGCGACTCTTGATTTGCGTTTCCTCTCGACAGTCTGCTTGTGCAATTTTTGTGCGTGGCCCCAGCGGTCCTGGCCCCTTCCCTAATGGCTGGTTGTTCGCCCCGGAACCTTTTCCAATATCGGGCCCCAGGGGCCGAAATCGCAGAGAAAGAAACGCCAGAAGTGGAAGAACAACAAAAACACCAGAACCGAAAACGAAATCGAGGAGAAAGAAAAACCATAACTGAACAGAAAACATCGTCGGACATCTGGGTCGGCATCGGTATGGCGCCCTTATCCTTTTCACTCTCGAGCCACTTCGCCTCCGATGCACCCCACCGCTTGCTGACCGGCGCCTGACTGTCTTGGACCCCTTGGCGCCCGCTGACTGAAACTGAGGCGGACGAGAGGGGCGGTAGACCATGGGGGGCGGGCGTTACACGCATTCGCCCGGGAGCCTCGTCGGAGATCTGGGTACCTGTGTTGCTCTCTCCGTGGGCTGTTCGCCCCAATCGTCGCCTCCGATGAAAAAGCGCTTCCTCCGGCGGCTCCTGCGGCGCCCCCGAGCACGTGCC